TTTTTTTTTTTTTTTTTCTTAATATTTTTACCTTATTTACGAAGAAGAACTTTTTTTTTTTTGAGACGGAGTTCTGCTCTGTCTCCCAGGCTGGAGTGCAGTGGCATGATCTCAGCTCTCTGCAACCTCTGCCTCCCAGGTTCAAGCAATTCTCGTGCCTCAGCTTCCTGAGTAGCTGGGATTACAGGCACCCACTACCATTCCTGGCTAATGTTTTTTGTTTTGTTTTCTTTTTTTTTTTTTTTTTGTATTTTTAGCAGAGGCAGGGTTTCATCATGTTGGCCAGTCTGGTCTCAAACTCCTGACCTCAGGTGATCTGATCCACCCGCCTCAGCCTCCCAAAGTGCCGGGATTACAGGCATAAGCCACCTCACCGGGTCTATCTGGGATTTTTTAAATGTCTTGTGTTAAAGATAAAATTTAGAAAGTCTTCATTTCATTCTTGTTAGTGTAGCAAGAAATTTCTTTCTTTTTTTTTTTTTTCTTCAGACAGAATCTTGCTCTGTTGCCAGGCCTGGAGTGCAGTGGCATGATCTTGGCTCACTGCAATCTCCTCCTCCTGGGTTCAAGCAGTTCTCCTGCCTCAGCCTCCCGAGTAACTGGGATTACAGGCACCCGCCACCATGCCCAGCTAATTTTTGTATTTTTAATAGAAGCGGGGTTTCACCATGTTGGACAGGATGGTCTCCATCTCTTGACCTCTTGATCTGCCCACCTTGGCCTCCCAAAGTGCTGGGATTACAGGCATGAGCCACTGCACCTGACCAAGACATTCCTTAAAAAAAATTTTTTTTTAAAGGAAATTTATTTTTGGGAAATGCTTGGGAAAAGAACATTTGATTTTATCTATTTTGTTTCACAATATGATAAGCAGAATTGCAATGTTATGTGCTAGCTCAGATTATTTAGTAAGACATTGATCTGTCTGTGAGGAACATTGGTCTCATCCAGAAAAATGTCTTAGCCAAGATGTGTGGGTCATGTCCTAACCCTGTATAGCTCTGTGCTGCTTGCTGCCCCCTGCTGTCCTTGTCCTCTTGCTGAAATGAGGTAGGGCAAAGGACATAGGTCAATTAAATGCCCTCTTAACGCAGCCTTTCTTTCAAATTCTTGCGGCTGTCCTGTTGTGCCGCAGGTGTAGAGAAGGCGCGCGCTTTCCAGGAACTGTGTAGTGAACAGTACCCAAATGGCCTGCAAGGGATATCGGGCCCCTTGATAGGGTCTTGGAGAACGTCTCTGTGATCAACTTGTACCAGTTATTTGTATTTTTTTTTTAAGGTCAAATACATTCTTAAGTGATTTGCCGGACAGTGAGTATAGTTCTGAAGTTGAGTTCTAAATCTTGGAACACATTCATTTCCTTTCCTCTTTTGAGATTGTATTACTCACTTCTTGTTTTTTGGCTACAAATGTGCTGGGATTACAGGCGTGAGCCACTGTGCCAGTCACAGTTTTTTCTTTTTATTGGGAAGGAATCTCAATATGTTAACCAAGGTTAGTCTTGAACTCGTGGCCTCAAGCAGTCCTCCTACCTTGCCTCCCAAACTGCTGCGACTGCAGACGTGGTGGCTCACGCCAGGCTAAGGGTTCAGAGAAAAAAAGCATACCATCAAAATAGATCTGCAGAAGCAAATCAAGTATGCATCCTACTAATCGACTGTGTTTATGAATGCAGGCCCATGTACTCTTGAACCTGCTTGCTGCTTTAAAGCAGAACTTCTCGAATATAGCCTGTATTTGGATTACCTGGAGATCTTGTTTAAAATGCAGATTCTGATGAGTAGGACCTGAGATTCTGCATCTTTGTCAATTCCCAGCTGATGCTAACACTGTTGGAGAAAGACTACACTTTGCACAGTTAAGGGTCTAAAGGTCAGAAAGTGTGAACTTGTTTTATTATTTTATTTTATTTTATTTTTTGAGATGGAGTTTCACTCTTGTTGCCCAGGCTGGAGTGCAATGGCGCGATCTTGGCTCACTGCAACCTCTGCCTCCCACGTTCAAGCAATTCTCCTGCCTCAGCCTCCCGAGTACCTGGATTTACAGGCATGTGCCACCCCGCCCAGCTAATTTTGTATTTTTAGTAGACAGGGTTTCTCCATGTTGGTCAGGCTGGTCTCGAACTCCTGACCTCAGGTGATCCACCTGCCTACGCCTCCCAAAGTGCTGGGATTACAGGCATGAGCCACCGTGCCTGGTCAGAAAGTGTGAATTTAAATACAACATCACTCAACAAAGTGCTAGGAGGACTGTCAGCTTTAGAGAGGATAGCACCAAATACACATCCTAGTTATCTCTTGGAAGAGAATGCCCCTAACCCAATTTATGTTTACTAATTATCTGAAAAGTTAATAATGCTGACACCGAGACATCTTTCTCTTTACATCTAAGTGATATTCAGTGTAATTATTACTTCATAGGAACATGCCTTTTGTCAGATTTTGCTTGAGTTCTTTCATTTAGACAGAAAGGCACAAACTAGGGGAACTTTTTTTTTTTTAAACCTCAGTGTTCTGTGAATGGGAAACTGAGACTGAGGCTGGTGACCAGGTGACTGGGCATATGTGATCACAGAGGGTGCTTTGTCATGGAAGGAAATGGCATGCCACTGCTAAAGGGACTGTATCACCAACACTGTGTGTGGGTTTTTATTTATTTATTTATTTGTTTTTTTGAGACAGAGTTTCGCTCTCGTTGCCCAAGCTGGAGTGCAATAGTGCGATCTCAGCTCACTGCAACCTCCGCATCCCAGGTTCAAGCGATTCTCCTGCCTCAGCCTCCTGAGTAGCTGGGATGACAGGTGGGCGCCACCATGCCCGGCTAATTTTTTGTATTTTTAGTAGAAACAGGGTTTCACCATGTTAGCCAGGCTGGTCTTCAACTCCTGACCTTAGGTGATCCACCCATCTCGGCCTTCCAAGGTGCTGGGGTTACAGGCGTGAGCCACTGTACCAGGTTGTTTTTAAAAATTTTTTTTAAATAGAGATAGGGTCTCACTATATTGCCCAGGCTGGTCTTGAACTCCTGGGCTCAAGTGATCTGCCAGCCTCGGCCTCCCAAAGTTCTGGGATTACATGTGTGAGCCACTACACCTGGCTTACTGTGCTTTTGTTGTTGTTGTTGTTGTTTCAGTTTTTTTTTTTTTTAGACGGAATTTCACTCTTGTTGTCCAGGCTAGAGTGCAGTTGTGCGACCTGAGCTCGCTGTAGCCTCCACCTCCTGGATTCAAACAATTCTCTGGCCTCAGCCTCCTGAGTAGCTGGGATTACAGGCGCCTGCTATCATTCTCTGCTAATTTTTGTATTTTTAGTAGAGACGGGGTTTCACCAATGTTGGCCAGGCTGGTCTCAAACTCCTGACCTCAGGTGATCTGCCTGCCTTGGCCTCCCAAAGTTCTGGGATTACAGGTGTGAGCCACCGCACCCAGCGTCCTGTGTGTTTTTAGATGGGAGTTTTCGCTCCTAGAAGCTCAGGGAAGATGAGATGATGGCACCAGAATAGAGCTTTCCCATCCTCAAGGGGAGGACTGGTTAAAAGTCAGAGTCCAACAAGCAATGCCCAGGCTGAGTGCTGGGCCCATGACAGAAGCTGTATTCCCCACAGAGCAGCTTCCGTGCCGGGTGGGGAACGCTGGAGTACCAAACTGCCTTTTTAGTCACTATGAAATTTTGTTTTTAGTTTCACACATTTTCCAAAATAACTAGTTCTCTTTCTTGTTTTGCAGAGGAGTTGTTTCCATGGTCATTTTGAAAATGACAGAAACCCAAGCTGGAGAATACCTACTTTTTATTCAGAGTGAAGCTACCAATTACACAATATTGTTTACAGTGAGTATAAGAAGTAAGTCCAGCCTGCTACTAGCATTCCAGTCTGGAATACACAGTATTTCAAAGGAGTGATTTAGAACCCGTTAGCTTGACCAGCTCCTCTAGACATATTCATGTTTCCCTCGATACATCGTTGGATTGATTAGATTCCCGTCAACCCTCTGTAGAACCTATAGAGAACTGAGAATCACTGATGAATCACTGATGTGTGCCATGGACTCTCAGAATGTGACTGCTGCTAAAAACACCTGGGACATCCTCTGTTCAGTAGCAGATGGCTAACAGGGAAGAAATGGGAAACATCTTGACCTTGGAATCAGAAGACCTCGGTTCTGATTCTGGTTCTGATACTACCACCTATGGCAGGTCACAATTTCTCTGAGCCCCAATTCCCTTGTTGGTGAAATGAGGATAAAAATACATAGGATTGGAAGGTCTCAGCATGATCCAATAGAACTTTCTGAGATGATGAAAATGATCTTTGTCTGCTCTTTCCAAAACAGTAGCCACTGGCCACATGGGGCTGTTGAACCCTTGAAATGTGGCTAAGGTGACTGAGGAACTAAAGTTTACATTTTATTTAGTTTTAATTCATTAAAATTGAAATTGAAATAGCCCCATGCAGCTAGGGGCTACTGTGTTGGACAGCGCAGGCCCACACGCATGCCAGACCATATGCAAGCTGTAAGGAACAGTCCAAATAGTCTTACCAAGGGAGGCAGCTGTGCGGCTGGCAGAGGCACCACCTGCATGTGCTTTCTGGCTTCTCCTTGTTTCGTCCCCATCATGCACAGACTCGGTGCTATGCACACTGACTTGCTGCTTCACCTTCCATGACCAAGAAGGAGTAAAGGTGGCTGCATTCATTCAGGTCCTCGTGCCTTTAGGGGCCAGTGCAGTGCTCCAAAAACCCTGGGTTAATATCACTTAAAATTAGGTTCCCTCCCACACATTGACACAACTTGCCAGGCTGCCCTCTTCCTTGTCAGTGACTCAAGTGCACAAAGCTTGTGTGTCCGGCCCACAGAGGTGCCCTGGGTCAGGAATAAGCACAACTGCCCTTTGCTGAGGATCTTCTGCCTGTAACATCTCAGATGCTCGCAGTGATCCTGCATGCATGTAGATGAGAAGACAAACCCTCTGAGAGGCGTGGTGGTGGGCACAGCTGGAGGCTTTCTGCACCACACTGCCCTGGGTCTTGTGTGAAAGAAAGTGTGTGGGTCTTGCTGTCAAAGCTACTAACAGAAGAGAGCACTCGAGATTCCCAGAAGTGTCATCTTACTGGGGTTGGGGGTAGGGTAAGGTTCTAAAGTCAGCCTGTAAGGTATACATTAGCTAAAGTCAAAATTACTCAAAATTTGTTCTGGAAAGTCCTTTAATTACTCTGAAAATGATAGGACTAGAGCCCTACAAGCTCCAAAGCCAAGAATCACCTTTCGTTGCTCTTTGGTGTTGGTCTTGTTCCCTGCCCCCTTTCTAGTCCCTCACCGCCTCTGTGGGACAGTCAATACATGCCCCAGGTTGGATGAAGCGAGGACATTTCTTGCTCTCCCTCTCTTCCTCTTTCTCTTTTTCTCTCCTTTTTAAATTTTCTTGCCAACTATAAATAGTTGTATAAGGTAAGTGGGCATCTGCTGTGTCTCTGTTATACTCAGGGTATATTCCTTTCACTTAAGATTTACAGTGTAAAAATGTAACAACAATTATTCAAGCAAATTATAACTTATTTTTAGCATTCTGCAAGGTGGTGGGGTCCAAAAAATAGGTGGGAGAGACGTGGCAACAGTCAGTGTGAAAAAGAGGAAAGGGTTTAGTCAACCACAAGCTCAGTATTAACCACCAGCAGGGCATGGTTGCCAAAAAAAGTAAATTTGAACCTTGGCAGTGTTCATGAAAATATAACGTCTAAATTAAGGAAATTAATGGAAGATTATTCATTTCAGTTCTACTTGTTTTTTTTAGATGAATACTGACAAAATGGAGCAACCAGGATAGTGGAAAATTTGGAATTCTTTAAATTAGGAGCAGTTGAAGGAATTGGAAATGTGTAGTGTATAGAAGGAAATATTTTGCAGACACGATAAGGTTGATTGCAGTGTAATACAGAGGAAATTCTTTTAGGATTTGGGTCAGGAAACCTGAGCGAACGAGTTAAAGTACCTTGTATGGTAATTATCTCCTTTGGTATCAGTTTCTAATTTTAAATATTTGAAGGATTTTCATATGGAATCAAAGCTAGACTTTTAAAAAGTTCCTCTAGAGGGTAGGATAAGAACCAGTTGTTAGAAATTACAGGGAGAGATCGAGACCATCCTGGCTAACACGGTGAAACCCCGTCTCTACTAAAAATACAAAAAATTAGCTGGGCGTGGTGGTGGGCGCCTGTAGTCCCAGCTACTGGGTAGGCTGAGGCAGGAGAATCGCTTGAACCCGGGAGGCGGAGCTTGCAGTGAGGTGAGATGCGGCCACTACACTCTAGCCTGGGGGATACAGCGAGACTCCGTCTCAAAAAAAGAAAAAAAAGAAATTACAGGGAGAAAAAGTAAAAATCACCACAAGATGGGAAAAGTTACTTGCAGTTCACAATCAACAAAGGATTAATAGTCATAATATGTAAAGTCAATAAGATAAACAATCTATGTAAGTCAATAAGTCAATAAGAAAAACAAAGCAAAATGAAAACCTGTAGAGAAATGAACAAAGGACATGAGGAGGCATTTCATTTTTGGGACATGAAACCTAAATGGTCAAGAAACATGTGAAAAGATAAACTTAGGCACGTTAAAGTTGTAAAGAGTATATTTGAGCAGAAAGCAATTCATGAATCGGGCAGTGCCAGATGGTAAGCAGGTGGGCTCCTGTCAGGGCATTCAAGGGTAAGACTTCTTTCTATAAGGTGTTCCTGGGGGCAAGACAAAGAGAAGATTTGATTGGTTAAGGAAGGGCAGTCCCTCGTTTGGTCAGTCTGCAGTTCCTCATTGATTAAGCTAAGTGGCATTTTGCTGCTCATATTGAATTGGGTTTGTTTTTTGCTTTTTGTTGTTGTTTTTGTAGAGACAGGGTTTCGGCATGTTAAGGCTGGTCTCCAACTCCTGGGCTTAAGCGATCCTCCCGCCTCACCCTCCCTAAGTGCTGGGATTACAGGCATGAGCCACCGTGCCCGGCCTTTATTCTTTCCCTTTTTTTTTTTTTTTAAGTTGGGTTTTGATTTGTTTACATAGGAACTCAAGCTATTAGAGCTGTCTCAGCCTAATGGCCTTCCAAGTAATTATTTTAACACATGTTAAATTAATAATGGATAAATTAAATTAAGACCACAATGAAATACCATTTTATACCTGCTAGATTGTTGAAAATTAAGAAGTCTTGGTACGTATACAAAGCAATAGGTGCTCTCATCTCCTGGTGTGTAACATAAATTAGTATAACCCCTTTGGAAAACAAATGGTCATTATGTGTAAGGCTGAATGTGCTCATACCATGTAGACCAGCAGTTCCCCTCTTAGGTATGTTATTAAGGAAACTGTTATACACATGCCTCAGTACAAATGTGTGGAATGTTCAGAGCACATGGTTGATCATACAAAAAACTATGGCCGGGTGTGGTGGCTTATACCTCTAATCCAAGCACTTTGGGAGGCTGAGGCAGGAAGATCACTTGAGCCTGGGAGGTTGAGGCTGTAGTGAGCTGAGATTGCACCACTGCACTCCAGCCTGGGTGACAGAGACCCTGTCTCACACACACACACAGAAGGAAACAACCCAAATGTATGTCTACTGCAAGAAAATGAAAAAACAATGATATATATACCAATAGAATATGATGTAGCAGTAAAAAAAAAAATGAATAAAGTATAGCTACATGTAAAACCATGGATGAATGTTAAAAACATAAGGTTGGATGAAAAAATAAAGTTGTGGAAGCTGTATATTGATTGATAACACTATTTTGAAGCTCAAGAATGAAATAAATCAATATATCATTTAGCACCACATATTTATGTGGTATAACTACTTTGAAGAGTCCCCGAATAATAAACAAAATTCAGGATAAAGGCCATGTACAGTTGAGAGATGGGGAGAAGCACAAAAGTAGATCAAAAGGTATTTATTAATATTCTAGTTATTAGGTGGATAGTGGCTCCATGGGTATTTGTTGTTATTATGCTTTGAAATTTACACTCCCTATATTCTTTCATATATATATATATATATATATAAAAGAATACATAATATTTTCAAGCAAAATTTATTGTAAGGAGAGAGGCTGGAATTCAGTATAGGAAAACTTTCCTTAAAAAAAAAAAAGTTTGTCAGAAATTAGAATGACCTGCCCTGGAAGGTCATGAACTCCAGTCCCTAGAAGAGCCAAAGTAGTAGAAAGTTTATGTTAGAAATAGCTGGGAGTGAAGGATGGCGTGTGTGTGTGTGTGTGTGTGTGTGTGTGTGTGTGTCTGTGTGTGATGGTCCAGTGGGAGTGGGAGGCCCAACTAAACCTCTAAGTTCTGTTGCAATTCCAACTCCACCCTACCATGTTTCTTCTGGCTTTCTGAATCTTAGTGTATTTCTGACTAGTTGCAGATCAAATTATAGGAAGAAAGTTGAGGTCTAAACTCTGCGTTAAACAAGGGTTTAAGCCATATGTTATTGCTAATTTCCTTTTTCCTGTGCCTATCAATATTTGTATTTTCACATGGCTTCACTCGACTACTTTAGTTAGCTGTGGATTTATGAAATACCCAGAGAAATTGGCCAAGAGGGTAAATGTTAAAGTTGACACTGCAGCCAGAGCTAAATTTAATATAGTGGTTGGTTTTCTTTTGATGCCTTTAGTATTAAAAAAAGAAAAAATCTGTGTATGTCATGGTTGGCGGGGCTGCAGAAACACTGCTATGGTATCAAATACGAACTTTTCTTAATGACATAGAATCCTTTTTTGAGGGGCTGCTAAGATAATTATTTTTAAAATAGTAAAATGTTAATAACTTATGATGCTTTAGATACCCTGCTTTACACATTAAGAAGACCTTACTTTAGAAAAATGGAAAACCAGGACGCCCTGGTCTGCATATCTGAGAGCGTTCCAGAGCCGATCGTGGAATGGGTGCTTTGCGAGTCACAGGGGGAAAGGTATGACACATCCGTGGTAGCCGCTATTCTCATAATTTCCTTTTGGCTTTTTTCTAATGTAGTTGACATCAAGCTGTATGTAAAATTTAATTTATGCTCATTGAAACAGGAAACTCTGGCTTCTTAAAGTTAAAAAATGACCAGTATAGGGCCGGGTGAAGTGGCTCACGCCTGTAATCCCAGCATTTCGGGAGGCCAAGGTGGGCAGATCACTTGAGATCAGGAATTTGAGACCAGCCCGGCCAACATG